AGACATGAATTGCTTTTATATTCAATATTTTAAATAATTTTAGTTAAGTAAGTACTATGGGCTATGCAAGAATTTTAATACCAAAATTATAATACATTCAATTTTGAATAATTTTGAATTTGTGTATTTTTTTCAGATATTTTAAAATGTCATCCGCCAATGAAGACCTATTGAGTTTAAATAAAGAAACAAATACTATAGTTGATACTATTGTTACATCAATTGTAAAAGAAGAAAATAAGGGAATCGCATGTATAAAAAAAGAATATATCATTGAAAGACATGTACCTAAGTTGGCCATAAATTGTATTTCTGAATCAGATAAAAACCAACTAAATGAAGATGAACCCCCTTCTAAAAAACAGAAATGTTCTAAAAGTGTATTAAAAGGTCAAAATAAATCTAGAAATAGTACTTATTATCAGATTCCACAAGAACATTTATGCTCAAATCTTGTTGATGGTTCAGAAAAAGATTCTTGTTTACATGATAAATGTAAATTCTTACACAATATCACTGAGTACTTAGAAAAAAAACCTGATGATATTGGCCAAACATGTTATGTTTATTCTATTAAGGGCCGTTGTCCTAGAGGACTGACCTGTAGATTTGGAAGTAGCCATATTGAAAGTGGTAAAAATGTTATAGACCAAATTAAATATGAAACGTGGATTAAAAATGAAATTAGTTATAAAACATTAAGTAAAGAAAATATGTTAAAATTACGAAAAAAATTATACGATTTTACAAAAAGTGAAGAAGCAGTTAAAAAAATTGATAAGGATAAAGACTTGGGACCTTTAATTGAAGAAAGTTCTAAAAAGATAAATTGGAAAAATAAACTATACTTGGCCCCTTTAACTACAGTTGGTAATTTACCTTTTCGTAGAATTTGTAAAGAATTTGGGGCTGATATAACCTGTAGTGAAATGGTTCTATCATCAAGTTTGTTACAAGGACACAATCAAGAATGGGCATTAACTAAAAGACATGAAACAGAAGATATATTTGGTATTCAAGTATGTGGTAATAATCCATACATGTTATCTAAAAGTGCACAAGTCCTACAAGAAAATGTTGATATGGATTTCTTAGACTTGAATTTAGGATGTCCGTTAGATCAAATTTATAAACAAGGCGCTGGTAGTGGATTATTACTTAGAAGTAAGAAATTAGAAGTATGTCTGAAAAGTATGAGAACGATCCTTGATGTACCTCTTACAGTAAAAACTCGCTCAGGTGTTAATAAAGATCAAAATGTTGTTCATGATTTAATACCAATGTTCAAAGATAGTGGAGTTTCCCTTATAACAATTCATGGAAGATCAAGAGACCAAAGATACACTAAACTGGCTGATTGGAATTATGTTAATGAATGCGCAAAAATAGCAAGTCCAGTACAAGTATTTAGCAGTGGAGATATAATGTCTTATGAAGATTATATTGATTCAAAACTGCAATTTCCAGACATAACTGGTGCTATGATTGGCCGTGGAGCTTTGATAAAGCCTTGGATATTTAAAGAGCTAAAAGAAAATCGTCATTGGGATATAAGTAGTAATGAACGATTGGAAATTTTAAAAAGATTTGTTAAATATGGTCTTGAACATTGGGGTAGTGATACTCGAGGTGTGGAAACAACAAGAAAGTTTTTATTGGAATGGCTGTCATTTTGTTACCGATACATTCCTGTAGGAATTTTAGAACGTGTTCCTCAAAAAGTAAATGAAAGACCACCCAATTACAAAGGAAGAGATGATTTAGAGACATTAATGGCTAGTGGAAATTGTGCTGATTGGATTGAAATAAGTAAAATGTTACTTGGACCAGTACCTGATAGATTTCATTTTCTACCTAAACACAAGGCCAATTCTTGGAAATAGTTAATTTATGTTATTTTTAATAATTACTTAAATAATTTTAATTACATAATAAATTATATATTATTAATATTATTTTCAGTTTTTGTGACAGTATACCGGGATTTATTATATTTATATTTTAATATGTACACCATAAATATTTAAAAAATATTTTAGGTGGTACTTAGCTCTAATCACAAATATTGATGCATTTAAAATTATAAGTTTACCCACTAAATAATTTTTCTATGATGACTGAAATGCTACTCACACTCAATTGCATAAAGGGGAAACATTAAATAATAAATATGTTCTAAGTGTACAATTACACAAGGAATGCAATGATTTTACCCAATGGCCAATAAATTTTACAACATAAATATCTAACACAACTAGCATCTATGTTTGAACTTTTGAAGACATGATAATATATTTGATTAAAGAATGTGTGTTAAAATATTGAGCATTGAGCATTAATTTCTGGAATAAGAAAAAATGATATTGACTTATTTTAGTCTATGGGCACCATCGACAATTCCCTTTTGATTATTTTCAGTTTAGTTCAACATTTTATAAAGCTTATGAAGTCCCCCTTTAGTCCATATTTCTTAAAAGTATTTTAATATGAGAGTTTTGATGTTACTTTTTTAGACAAACTAAATTCCGAATATTTCTATTAATAAAAAATATTTTTGATCATTGTCTATTTGAAATGATAAAAAATGTTGCTCTGCCGTACAGTAGGTTACAAGTGGGTTACTGTAAAGGATGGTATTAAATTTTAATTCAATGAAATATCATTATATACAAAAAACAATTGCAGTGAAGACGGTTTGTCATTCTAGGATATATATTATACTATTACTATATTAATTATATTGTTATTAATTCAACAAAAAATGTMGGTACCTATAAAATTAATCAAATCAGATTCATTATATAAACTACTTACTCAGTCATTCATAGGAAGGTATATACAATATAAAGTATTAATATGTCATTAACGACATAAACTATTAAAATTAGATTATATAAAGTTTACTCTAGAAATTTCAAGTACCTATCACAAATATTATTTTTAAATCACAACAATGTAACTAAAATGGTTATTCTTGATTATTTAATGTGTAATTTCATCCGAATTTGAACTTAAAAATAACTATAAAATAAACTAAAAAGATTGAAAATTTCAAATGTTAACTTAAAAAAGTTTGAAATGTTTTGAGAATGTTATCAAGTATAGAACATACTAGTATTAATAGTAGGTAAAAATGTCATGTATCTACGATAATTTGTTTTAGAGTTACACCATATCTATAATTCGATTTTCTCAAAAATTGATTTCGCTTAAAATTCCAGTTTTTCTTAATTTATTTTTTGTTTTTCCCTGTGCTTTTGAAAACTACTGAGAATTTCAAAATTTGCCCTCCCTAATGTACCAACTAGATTCAATTTACAACCGGAAAAGCTACTGAAGTTGATTATTTCGACAACTTGCCGTGTAGTACACAGTCACAAAAAAAAAAAAAAACACTCGTCATTGAAATTCAATACATTCATTGATCCACTACGAATCTAAAATAACAATTTATATTTAAAACAAGGATTATAATTTAGAATTAAAATCAATATGAGATTATATTTGGCCGTCTCCGAATGGGACACACTC